TTTTTTTTTGCTAAACTTGGTATATTCTAAGCCAGCTCTGTGAGTAAAGAAGTGCTTCCCTAGTGAGGTTTTGATCGAAGCAAAGCATAATTTGCTTGGGTTCCCTCTTGTTTTTGAAGATTTGAAGGAGAACAATTTAGTAGAACTTTTACTACTTTTATACTGCTAGGACGTAAAAGTCCCTTCCCGAGTCATAGTTTTGACCAGGTACTGGGCATCGATTATGTTAATATTTGACGCTCCGATTTCTCAAATTGAACTGGGAATTTTTCAGCTGGTCACCTCCATTCCGACTGGCAGCCTTCCAGAGAACATGACAATCGGTTCTGGAGAAGCGCCAGCTAATGACCCACTAATGCCCGATTATGAAGATCCCGATACGCATGAGAAGCGTTCCGGGCAAATTCTGTGGGTGCGCGGCTTGACACGACTTCAGACGCAGGTACGTCCTTTGACCAAGAGTCAACCATTGGTTCTATTTTCAATGTTTTTTCATGTTTCTCATGAGTTAAGGTCAGATGCTCTCCTCTTCTATCTCAGTGCTTGCTGCTCGAGTCCATAGTATTTATAACCTAATCATTAGGTTGAGTAAACAAACAACAACTAGGCTTCCTTCCTTTTGAACTGATCCAGGCCCATAACTCTCTTGTTATGATTGAATGTATTCACAAAATACCATTCCATCTAATATTAGTGAACTTACGCACCTCCCGTTTTCATTTCTATCAGCAGGTACTGCAGATTTGAGAGGAGAAGTTTTCTGTTCTGTTGCAGCATTAAGAGCTGCTCGGTTCAATGCTGATCAGTCAGTATATCTGAGGGTCGTTACAAGTACAAAGGTTACACAATCTGATCATCAAAACTTACAAAAACCTCACTACCACCATTTGAATTCGACATTCATGCTAAACATTGTGCACATTTTGTTGAGGTTCAACTAAATAGAGCCGATTTCTGGCTAGGCCTAATTTTATCTGAATCGTTTGAAATTTCTGACCGGCTATTTTGAGTGGCGGAGGTCTTTCTAGCGTGGTGGAAGGGCTGGCATCCAATGCTTCTTCACCACCATTTGCTCGAGTTTACCAATAATTCAGTTGTGTACTACAATTAGGACAGTGTACTCTTGTGGGTACGCTCCAGACCTGGCAGTGCTCCTTAGGGCTCTCTGAGCTGGGCTCATGAGGCCTCTGATTCAGTAGGTTCACACCTTACAGATGTTCAGCCCGCTTTCATAACCCTGTGAACCCAACGCGAATAAAATGAAGTGACTTCTCTGGGCTTTTTGTTTATAACCGTGCACTAATTACTACTAACAAGCAACTTCTAGAGGGTGTAGTTGTCGGTGGTCTCTTCAAACGAATCTCATTGGAATCCGGTCCTTTTTTGTTGACTTCTAGAGTAGGGAAAGACTTGAAGTCGTAACTAGTAGTAACTCTCATAAAGATATGACCAGACGCCCTGGAGTAAGTTCTTTGCCTGTTGGGAAGCTGTGGATAGATGCTAGAATTATGTTACGGATAAGGAGATTAAGGTTGAACTACCCTCCGCAACCATCACCAAAGTGCTCTTAGCCTAATGAAGAACATTAGAGATGTTTATCAGAGCATAAGCTTTCCGCCGTTCTTTGATGGTGGGTCATTGAATCTCTATTTTAAGTAAGGATCCTCCAAGGCTATCGATTTTTCGGTAGTGATCGATATCTTCTAAACAAAGTTCCCATCGTATCTCAACTCTCGGAAATTTGAAGTCTCGCAGCTGAAGAGCCTATCCTAGTGGGACCCGTCCAGTCGCTTCTTGAATCGATCGATGTAGCTTGGAATCGGTAGATCGATGTCGATCAATATCAGTGGAACAGAGTTACAATGTTAGTTTCTGAACACCTTAAATTTCTGAACACCCCTAATGTTTAAAGTCTTGGGATTCGATATCTCTGCAGTGAAATACCCATTGAACCGTCTCTATTCCCATGAGGTTCAAAGAAGTAGGAAGTAAGGAATTTCGTGATAGGGAGAGATGTAGTCAATGTGAAAATAAGTATTTTTCTACATTTTTGAGTATACTTCTCCGTGAGTTCGACAAGATCGCATTCCTGACAACCCTGGTTTGTAGATCGTAAAACGACTAGCATTATTCTCGTATGTCCATGAATTGTTGTCTTAAATGGTGGTAGAGAGAAACATCAGAAATGTCGAGGTAACTATGCTTCTCATGAAACGAGGAAGGAGTGTATACAATTGAAAAGGCCGGTTGAGACGCCGCCGCGATGCCGCACACTCACAGAGTTCACGTTAAATCTGATCAAAGTGTGAACACTCTAAAAGTGTGGCGAGGCGGCCACATGATGGTGGACAGACACGGACATGCGGAAAATTGTCTCCTCGGTCCAGAAAATTATCCCTGCAGTTGCACTTATTTTTTTCGCAAATCACCATCTTCACTAGTTTTCAACTTTTTTCGTGCAACGAACTGTAATGGTGGTACGCTAAGTTCCTCATTTAGATTAGTATACACTGTAGAAACTTTCATTCCTGCGTACTGGCTTATTGACGGCAATTTCAAGTGTGAGCGCATTTCGTTGCATTCGTTTTATCGTGAAGTATACCGCAGCGTTTCGCTCTTCACTCTCCTTTTCTCATGGAAATAATAATAAGTCCCACCCCATGAGAACCTTCATTGTAATGAGCTAATGCTGAAGAGGGTGGAGTAAGGAGAGAAACGATCAATGGTCTTGCTCTTTTGGTCAACTTTCAAATCACCAGCTATCATTGTGCTTTGGATCGTTTTCTAGACAATACACATCCAAGCTTTATACTAGGTGTCTACTGAGGATTGTGCCGTAGATTGAGAAGCGTTATTACTTTTATTTTACAAGTTACTTATTATTTTCGAATTTTTCTATTTGATATCTGTACACTCCCTCCTCACATGTAGTAGATGAGTATTGCGACAGCACGTACAGCTGTTGTTTATCTCTAGTCGGTGTCCGTGCAGCCACCGGACTGGTGCGGCCGAAGAGGCAGTGGCCTACGTTAAGAGAACTTTCGTGTTCTGATTGTTGTGTCGTGGGTTGTTTTTCTACCTGATTCGTTAACAACAACAACAAGACGTCGTAATTTCAATTAAAAAAAGTCAAACAGTTCCGTCCGTCTGCGTCGCCGATGTCTCGAAAAGTGTCGTCGCGTGTGTCTTCGTGTGTGTCTGTTGCCAAAGAAAAAGATCAATTTGTTGATGTGTTGATATGCAGCCTGATAAGTTGAATTTTGTAGTAGAGCTATGTTAGTTGAATACGACTAGCATAGCGATATTGAAAAGTTCGTTCTATTTTTTTGGTTACGGTTTGTGTGTTCGTAGGTGTGTGCCTGTTGTGTACCGTTTACCTCTTCACCTGATATCACAATCTCTTTGATAATTCGATAGCAGTGTGATGGCGCGACGCTCTGATTGCTACAATACATAAAGGTGGTGGGGTTGAAGTGCCGAGTTTCGTGTGAGGTGGCAAGACGGTAAAGAATTCCGCAGTGCAGATGATGATGTTCGGAAACTCTCTCTACAAAGAGGAGGCATGGGGGTGAAACGGAGCGGTTCGAATTCGATGATGGTGCCCAAGCTGCTGCTGCAAGCGATCAGGTGCAAGACAGATGACTGAAGTGCCGACACGACTAGTTCCTGTTGTGTTTCTTCCTTCACCGTGCGTCTCATCCCGAAGCCTCCTCCTATTCAGTGCTACACAGTGATTACTCTTTAACGCTTCCCTCGTACACCGTTATACCCTTCCCTCTCTTTAGCCAACCACTACACAGTCTATTCGACAACAGACAATGATCGTAACCACATGAGCGCGTACAACGATGAAGCAGCCGATTAGCTGCTGCGCATGTTTCTGTCGAATAATCCTGTGCAGTGCTAAAAAGCGGGTGTTGAAAAGGCTTGCACGTAGTGTGCAGAACGCGTTTGCAGTGCTGCTATGCGTGTGGTCACCTCAGTACAGCCACAGTCTCGGGCCGCTTACACCTGTAACACCTGAATGAGCAAAAAAGACAGACTGCTGAGTAGCTGCTTGCTAACAGTGTTTCGTTGGTCGCTGTCTCTGACCGTGTTAGTGGCGTAAATGGTACGAGAGACTGAGATATCCTCAACGGTGGTAAGTTCGCTTCTCGTTTATACTCACTAACATCTCGAGCATTATCTACCTACCGTACACGGTCTTTATTCACTGATGGGAAAAGTGTTGTATGTGCACATTTCATTTTTGCTGAACACTTTCCAATGCACTATATAGCACCCACATCGAATCTCACGCTCTTTAGCTCCGGGCGGCTGGGCGTTCATACTCCAGATTAACCTATGCAGCTAAAATGAAATATGCACTCTACAGTACTACTTGCTTCACTGAATAACCGTAATTCCTCTCTTGTCCGATGTGCTAGGAGTTCAAGTTCGCTGTCCCTCCCTACTGCATTCGTTACGTCTGTTCTACGTCCTTTCTTTGCTTAATTTCTTCCCAATGAATTCTTTCCAGTAGTTTTTCCTATTGTCTATGCCGATTCCTCACCACATCTCAGTCAAATGGCTAGCATGCACGAATTAGTTGCTTTCAACTATAGTTTCTTCTATGCTTTGAAACGACTATTTAGTTGCTTTTCCATTGTCTCGGAGTAAAGCTTTACAAGCCCACAAAAACAGCAGTTTCGCCTTGTGCGGAGGATCACCTCCTGAATGGTTTGAGTAAGGCACATGGGAGATAGTTTTCCCATGTAAAGCTTTGCTGTGAGGCAATTCCAATAATTTATTTTCCTTGATTAACTTTTTCTGATAGATAGCTTTCGCACGCCATTTAGTTTTAGTTTTTCACCACTCACATCACTTAGATCAGCCCCTTATTTCTTCTTCGCTAAGTTCGAATTGGAATGTGAGAGGCTATAGTCGACTAAGTTGCAAATTTTCCTTTTGTAGTAGAACCAACCAAACAGCAGAAACTGGATCCGTTGGGGACAATTTTCCGTTTTCGTTCGTTTTCGCCTGCAGCGGATTAGTTGTTGGTTGGAAAGGATTGTTGATTAGTTGGGCAGGAGCGTTAGAAAGTTTGGCTTCTACCTAATGTGATTGCATTAACAGTTTCATCCAACAATTGCCGCGCGTTCTGCTATCAGAGACGCCTTGCCACCCCATTTAGTGCTTCACACTTCGCCTGCTCGTCCCCAGGTGGAACCCGAGTCATGGGCGTTGGTACGCTGCCATGACTCGGTGCACCACATGGGACGAGCAGGTGAAGCAGAACAGAACTACGAGGAAATTGTTTGTGTGTGCGCGCGCGTCGCAGCTGCTTCCATAGAGGCTTTTTTGTCACTTCGTTCCTTTCACAAAAAGGAAGCCATCGTCGCCTTGCATTCTTCTTTGATTCGTTTTAAATGTTACTGCTGTTCGATCATTGTTCCATAACTAGATATCGGCTGGGAAAGCATTGAATTGTCAAAGGTGTCGATATTGATTGCAGATTTTTATAACGTCCAGGTACCGATCTGCTTACATCCATACATCCGTTTATGGTTAAGCTAGCCAAGATTCCGGCCGTGGGGGAAGGTGTGAGAGAGGACGGAACATTCGCCTTCTAGAGGTGCGCGCAGCATAATTCGAGGCGATTTGGACGACTTTGGTCTCTACCATTTGAGCACAGGCTGAAATACATAGAGTGGATTAGTAGGGTCACCTGATCCTACTAATCTTCTCGACTCTGTGCCGGAATGATAGGCGTCAAAGTCGTCCAGATCGCCTCAATATTCGCCGTGCAATTTGCCCCGCGCATCTCCAAACCGGCGAATATACCCATACATCTTGACTGGCAATCTTGGCAACAACTGATATTGACAAAATGATTTTGCCTCCAAAAATATAGGCTTGGGCAAAGTTAAGTGATTGAAACCCTGGAAAACTCCTTTACCTCTACCTACCTGAAAATGCCGTTTACAGAGACATATAGTAATCTCATGCATAGATTATTTGTAGGGCCTGAACGAAGGAAAATCTTAATAACAGTATCAAAATCTGTTGTGTAAACTCCACTTTCCGGGCTCATGATAGAAACGCGACAAAAAATTGTGGCGGGTGAAGCTCATTCAGGCTTCTACTGCGTCAGACTCCTCGAAAACTTCTGCTGCTGACTCTTTCCCTAGGTGCCGCTTTCAGTAAACCTACCAATATTCCAAATTTCTTCTTTTCCCTTTAGGTGACTTTTCAACTCACTTTCTTTGGGTTTTCAGTCTTTCCAAATATGGATGGGAAAGAAAGTTCTCTTGGAAATTGAAGAAGTAGTAGTAGCGCTCTCAGCGTCATCCCTAGGCGCGGGCTGTTGACAATGATACCGTAAGTGTCATATGGTCATAGGTAATTTCTGTAACACTGATTCAAGTTCATGGTTTTCGAGAATCCCTTTAGGGATGGATTGTGGCCCCCGCATATGACATATGTAGATGCAAGTAGACTTATTGTTAGACAGCACTCATACTTGATGGTCCCATGTATAATAGAATCCTAGGATCATCGAGGATGAGTGCTGTCTAAATCTACTTTACCTACTTTACGGTATACCGTGAGCCTAACTGGGGAAAGAAGGTATTTGATCTGAGTAAATTAACCCATCTGCTTCCAAAGAACGTTGCCCGTGTCGGTCGTTCTGTCGCGCTCAGTGTAGTAAAGCCAGCAACAATCTATCCCTGTTATTGTTTTTGAGTTAATATTTTTTATTCGATTTGGCTCCAGTAACTGTAACGAAGATATAGAAAATGCGAAGTCAGTGTTGCGCGACCTTGCCGTTCCTAACGACCAAAGCCCACTACTACAAGGCATTCTCCGTCTGCAAAAAAAAGGCACCTTACCTTGCTTTGTAACGGTGTCAGAAATGGTAGTTCGTGGTCCCTGTGATTCGGCCGAACACATTAAGGAATACTTCCCTGTAAAATACCTTGTTTATTAATAGAGGGGTGGAGTCTTCGGGCGTTGATGAATCCCGTGTGAGGGATGCGTCCCAGCATTCGACATTTATTAAGAATCGTAGTGGCGTATGTGGCCTGTACAGCACTGCCCTGTACAATGGGGCTAGCCCCGCTGTACAGGGCAATGCTTTTATCCTCCCAGATGAGTCTGGTACCAATTCATCGACCCCAAAGGTATGAAAGGTTTGTTTGGCCTAGGCAGATATCGATCCGGGATTCGAACCTGTGACCATGCGCGTCTGTTAGGGCGTCACTTGCTGCAACACCAACTCCGCTAACTTGTTCAATAGGTTGATTAATTGACCAGCTTGCTTATCGATAATTCACAAATTTCCTAGAGAAGTTCATCAGTAGGCAAAGGTTGGTGATCGTCAAATTACGATCCAATATGTTGAAGAAATACTTACGTGTCGATGAGTTAAATTTAGACGCTAGATCAGTGTATTTGTTGCGTTAGGTGCCCCTTTTAACGCTAATGGTCATCTGCGAATCGGTGTCTAGACTAATAATGTACATAATCTGCGATAAATATCGACACCTAGTGCTGTGTGTGATGTAGTACCATCACCCATAAAAACTATACCAATACATCACTTTCAGCTGCGAGTTGTGAAGGCGTTCCGATCGTCACTGGAAGAATTCGACGAACGGCGTTCCATCGCCTCCACTCACTCAGTGCAATCAATGCGTGGATGGTCTCGATTGGCCTCAAGCCCTGACCCGGCTGGCACCCGAGCGGCACTTGCAGCACTGTCTCATCGACAGTCTCCACAGCCTTACCCATATTACCACCATCAACAACCACGAACTCCCTCGCCACAGCCGCAGATCGTTGTCGAGAATGGGGGAGGTGGTGGCGTTGGAAGTTCAGCGCTGCCCTCGCCGGCTGCTGGAAATGTGAAATTGGAAAAAGTGCCTTTAGTGCAGAAATGGTCACCGGACACGAATTCGTCGTACTCGCAGCGCATCTCGAAGAGCATGTCACTCGATACGCCTGTTTCAGTGGCACACGTCTAGCACGATCTGACATCACCTGGCACCTGTCGTCGCTTCTTCCCGAACAAATGCGCTCAAAGCGTGCTGGCGGCATGATGCAGCAGTGATATGTCTTGTATTTCCACTCTAGGGGATTGATTATTTATGTACTATGACCATGACCATGATGAAAACTGTACGTACGCACCACGGTGCTCTCGCGGGCGCCGTCCCGCCCACACATTGCCTTGTTGTTCCTTTGTGGAAGAAACACCCGGTAACGGTAGCATACCGCTACAGATTATTCAGTTGCTAGTGATTTTTGTTGCTCTCATGCGATATCTTAGCGGATCTATTATTTTCTATAACAGCGCAGTACCCATCCTCCGGCATGTACAAGTTGGCGTTCACGCTCTAGGCTCAATGTTAGAGAGGAGATTTATAGTTTGTTATATTTTGTTATTTGAGAGATTTATATTCGGGCATTTCATATATTATTGAAGCTGAAACTAATTAATTATAAGGTCAACTTTATTTTCTATGTGTACGCAGATATGAACGTGCTCACACTTAAAAATTAGAAAATTCGAATCGACAAAATTATTTTTTCATCCATCTATTTTTGAAATGTGTGCATGTGAGTGTGCGTGTTCGGGACGAATTCTTATATGTGTACGTTTGAGGAATTTCAGTTTTCCACAATTGCCATATATGATAATATGTATTGGTATATGTATTTGGTTATTACTGCCAGTCTGTTCTCTTTCGGTGTCACAAAGTAGTCGTGCTGAACGTAGTAGTGTAACTATTCCCCCTCCCCCTCCTTTGTAGCTCTGTTCGGCTAGTGGTACCGTAGTGAACGACGAATTGAATTCTGATGACATACGCGCTATTGTGAAGTTCATGGCGCAAACCGCAATGGTAGCATCTCATAGAATAACTGATGAGACTAACTGCCTCGTAATATTTTTAGTAACCTCCGTTTTTATGTCCGTACCGTACCACCATTCGTGCTATTAGAATTGTACGATGGTTGTCTCTTGTATTTCATCGTATTGGCCTCATTCGTACGTTCGTCTCACTCTCTTCTCACTACGCCGCTATTACCGCTATTATTTTTCAACAACAACAACAATTCCCGTTAGGTTCTTGCAATTTAGCGTGTGTTGGTGTGTAAGTTGTATTTGAAACTTACCGATAAATTCATAACATTGAATTGACGTGTACTCATTCAACAACCATGTTTGCAATCGCAGCTGTATTAATTATTGTCTCAGAAGTCCTGTGTGGATCAATCTCTGTACAAGTACTGGTAGCTACTAATGCTTGTTCATAGCCGTTTTTGATCATCTAACAGTCAGACAAACATCCACTGACGATTTTTTTCGTCATGTAAACATTTTATTTTGATTCGTAACTTTATCGTATGGAATTTTTCATTTTGAAGGTCCTGTAGCTTCTTCTGAGCCAGAAAGGCTCTTCAAAAAAGATCTCTTGAAGAACAAGATTTCATATAGTTTTGATGGATATCCCATTTTTAACTATTCCGCATAGCTTTGTGGGTTTTAGGGTTAGAGTTCTGGTTTAGTTACTACTTACGCTTTTACCGTAGTTTGAAGGATATAGTAAGCTTGCTAAGTATGGAAGGCATTATTGATACCGAATTCCTTCGATAGATGAGAATTGATTCGACCGATACGACCGTTGCTTGTTTCGAACGATTCTATCGAACTTGTAGATCCGCGCTAACTATATTCCTTTTATATATAGTTAGCTAGCAGAATAAGTTGGTGCTAGTTAAAATTTACTGAATACTTCTAGGGCTTTGTGCATAAATGTGGGCTGAAAAGTTACTTGGTGCTCCTGTGGAGCCTATTTCTAGCACTTAAACTACTGAAGATGCACAGAATTCAGTGAATCCTCGTAGTGGGTCTAATTAGAAGACAATTTTCCCGTCAATCCATCCCGAGGTTACAACATGGGTTTTTGGGTTTTCATTTGCGGCATGCGGGTATTGAGTCTGCTGTTCCCGAGGTCTGATCCTCAAGTGTTTTTCTTTCGTCGCTCAACGGAGGCTGTCATTTCCGTGACTGTTTAATGGGCTGGTCCTCAGATTAATACTCGATATTCATATACATTGCACATCCTTCCATTAGTGATAATAACGGTGTTTCTAGCAAATACTTCTTGCAGAGTACAAACTTGATGTGGGTAGACCCCGGAGCCACGGGAATTGGGGTTTTTACGAAAGTTCGCTTCAGCACCATGCTCGATATTGAGTCAAGTGGTATAAAGTAAAGGTGGAGTGAGTGGGTCCATGGAAACGTCAAATACTTGAATATGAAATTCTACAAATGAAGAAGAAATATGCATCATTTATGTAATCAGTTGGAACAAACAAGCCCTGCGCACAAGTTGATCCATGCATGACTTCTGAGACTGCATACACACAGACACTTCTTGAAATCCTCTCACATCACAATCTCTTTGGCCGCACTATTTGTGCTGTGATTTGTTTTCTGTTTAGCTACAATCTTTCCTATCTAGTGTTTTAGCTACAGAGTATTCGCTTTGGGCACATTTAGTCAGATGGAATAACTTGTGGCGCTAAGCCAATAAACGACGGTGTCGGACCAAATTTATTTATCAGTTACTTGTGCATTGTCCAACACTCAATTCACTTGGTTATAACAGTGAAGCGTCAGAGTTTTGTTGGTAGGAATAGAGCTTTCATCATTGTTTTGCTTAAAACTGTGCACAAATGATTTGTTCGGTCTGTATAGTTCGTTGGTGATACCACACAGACATTTGATCAGTTCTTCTACATCAAAGGTATACCACACGAACAACACATCACGATGGCTTTAAAGTCATCAGATTGAAAATACGAGACTTATTTGGAAGAATTTGGTTTGGATGGATTGCAGGTGATTGGCGGGGAGCGCTCGGATCATCTTATTCCCGTGCCGCTCAGCAGTGCGCCCACCGACCAAGCTGTAAGAGGCTGTGTGCACACCATAGAGTGTGTTTGAGCGTCGAGCCGCCGCATTGTAATAGTTGAAATGATCACCCATTTGAAGCCATGTGTGACATGTGTGTTTGGAATAGAACCCAGTTCGTCCGAAC